TGGAACTCATTGATGGAGCTAAACTAACTGGCAGTAAGTCTGGGAGATTATTCTGTCTCTGTTTTCCTAGCACTGAAATTACAAGTTCATGCCACCTGTGCTTGCTTTTTGTTTGTTTGTTTGTTTTTGTATAGGTGTTGACAATCAAACTCAGGTATTCATGTTTGCAAGGCAAACACTTTAATGACTAAACCATCTCCTAAGCCTTTGACCTTGACTAGGGTTTCTTCATGCTTGCAAGAGAAGCACTCTACCAAGTGAGCTATATCCCCTGGCCTGTTTCTACATTCTTAATCGCAATAACAGATGATAGATATAAATCATATTCAAAGCACACGGAGACCTAATTAAGATTCTGTTATAAGTTAACTAAATATTAGCTCATTCCAAACATGGCCCAGTAGATTCGATTGTAGACTCCATGACTCTGCCTCCTGGTGCTTATGCCTCTGTGTTCTCCCCTCCCCTTCATGTGGCTGGGAGCTGTGACTTGCTTTTAACTAGTACAACGTTATGAGCGATGAGACACCATTCTCACAATTATAGCACATTATGTAAGACTCTAATGTGTCAGATAAAAGCAAACAAGAGACAGCAATACATCAAAATGCACAACTTCAAGTAACAGAAACAATCAAGAATGAAAAGGCAACCTGTGCAGCAGAAGATGTTTGCACACCAATACCTGTAGACAGCCATTATCAAAGAAGAAACAATCGGAAAATAGCAAATGGTAGTTCAGAATGTGGAGAGATGGAAACCTGTGTACCCCATCGATGGGAATATTCATTGTGCAGCCACTATGGAAAACAGTGGCAAATTCTCCAAAATACTAAAAGCCAAATGAGTGCAATGGAACACTCTCACTTCTTGATTAAAAAATAAAATAAGTCAATAATTTAAAGCCAGGTTTGGTGGCTTATAACTCATGATGCTAAGGCAGGAGGATTGTCAAGAGTTTGAGATCAGATGGGACAACACAGGACTATAGAGGAAGGAATATTACTCAGTTTTAAAGGAAGGTAATCCTGTCCTGTGCTAAAACAGGGATGAACCTTGAGGGCATTATGCTAAGTAAAATGAGCCAGTTGCAAAAAAAAATAACTATGTAAATAAAGAGACAAATTCTGTGTGATTCTATTTACATAATCTTTTAAAGGAGTTCAAACTCTTGGAGACAGAAAGTGGAACATGTCTAGCAGGACCTGGGTGGAAAGGAAAAAGGGAAGCCATTATTCCTGGGTACAGAGTTTTAGTTTTCAAGATGAGAAAGTTCTGGAGCGCTTCATCTGTTGTTATATTATGCACTTAAAATAGTTTCTAGAAAGCTGGGCATCATGGGGGTTTAACAACTTTAATCCCAGTGCCTGGGGTAAGGGGGCTGAGGCACGAAGTTACAGGTAGGCCTTATCTCAAAACAAACTTAACTAAAAATGTTTAAGATAATAAACATTATGTAAGAGTTTTTACTCAAATAGATTTTTTTAAATTGTCTAGTTACTCAAGAGACTTTGCTGGTTTATAAGTGGCCATGTAGGGTAAGACCGTATGGCAGGGAAACACAGGCACTTTCTAGAAACTCTAAGCAGCTTATAAGAGCTGAGGGCAGCCTCTAGCTGATAAGCAGCAAGAAGCAAAGGCCTTCAGTCAAGAAATGAATATGACAGGGCATGGCGAGATGGCATAATAGTTCATAGTATGTGTCGTTCTTTCAGAAAACCTGAGTTCTGCTCCCAGCGCCCACATCAGGCTGATCATGACCACCTGTTGTAACTCTAGTGGTTCTCAACCTTCCTAACGCTCCAACCCTTAAATACAGTTCCTCATGTTGTGGTGAACCCCCTCCCCCAGCCATAGAATTATTTTGTTGCTGCTTCACAACTGTAATTTTGCTAATGTTATGACTTGTAGTGTAATTATCTGATAAACAATTCAAAGGGGTTGTGACCTACAGGTCGAGAACCACTTCTCTAAGGTATCTGATGCCTTCTGGCATTCTCAGGCACCTGTACTCACATTCAGATACACACACACACACACACACACACACACACACAAAGGCATACACCTAATTAAAAAAACAAAATCAATCTGTTTAATAAAGAGATGAACACTGTCAAGGTCAATAATCTGAGTGAACTTGAAATTGGAGTGTTCCATATAGGAAAGCCGCTTGGCTGACAAGTGGAGCGAATGAATCAGTGCAGCCCTGCCTGGACTCTTGAACTACACATTCTGCAGTAATAAACAAAGGGTGCTATTTTAAGCAGCTGAGTGTGTGGTGATTTTCTATGAGGTATCAGATAACAAATAGAAAAGAGATATAAGACATACATAAGACAGAATACATAAGACAGCCTGCTTTCAAATCATTGCCTTCTAAGGGCCATGGTCCACATGAAATAGTCTAAAAATCTTTGGGGCATTGAATTTGTGGAAACTTGAAATGGGACGAGGAACAATAAACACTGCTTTGACCATTTTTATTCTTTCCACTATCCCCATCTCTCCACTCAGTGTCAGGAATTCCCTTTCTCTTAAAGATTCAAATCCGTTATAGTAAACAAGAAACACTTCTCTAAAAGTAAACTGCACCTTTAGAACGAGTTGTAATACTCGGCAACCTTGTATAATCCCCAAGTACCTCATATAAGATTCAACAAGTTGAAATGTTGACTCATTAAGGAAACTATTCTAAAACGTTGCCAATCTAAATAGCAAAGTTTTGCTTCAGCTGAAAGCTAATCTTGATTCTAAGTCATAGAAATCTAATGTACTGCTAGCAGTAAATACATAACAAAACTCCTGTAAGTGTTCTGGCTTTCTAAACAAAAGCAAAGGAGGGAAGGACCTGCTTTTCCATGTCAGGAACAACACCACTGGTTAACTCAAGTTGAATGGGTGCTATTTTTAAAGCTCTTTGAAAAAAAAACATTGCATAAGCTCTCACGGTGACTCACTAATCATTGAGTCACGGGAAAGTGGGAGGAGTAACAGAAAATGCCTTTCAGCTTTCATTTCTACATACAGGATATTACTAGTTAATAAAGACAAAGTCACTTACTAAATGTTAGGAGTGGCTATGTGGTAACAGTTTAAACACCTCAGACAGACCGGATGTTGGAGACCATTGGATGCTTTTTCTCATTTAAAAAAAATTCTCTGATTATGAAACTGAGGCAAGGCCATAGAAGTGGGGCCCTTAGTAGGGTCTGTCCAGGAAGGTCCTTAGCAAAAGTCAAGTCATTCCTACAGACTTGGATATCAAGTGATCAAGGACTAGGCAAGGCCAACTGTCCCCAAACATTTTGATCTCTGGACATCTAAAATTTAGTGACTCTAAGGAGCTTGGTTCTGAAAAGCCTAGGAAACATAATACAGAGGCACAAATTCCTGTAGTCACTGGAGTATTGATAACATCACACATTCAGTAACGTTAGAATTATTTCAAAATAAAAAGTTAAAGGAAACAAAAGAAGCACAGGGACTGGAACAAGTATGCATTACAACAGCAAAGGAAACCAGAAGATGGTCAGATATCAGGGTGCTGAAAGAAAAATTCCAAACCTCAAAATTTCTGAGTAGTGAAAAATCCTTCAATAATGTAAGAACATACATAATATACAAAACCAAGAGAATTTTTACAAAAACAAACCTTTATTAAAGGAAATTATGAAGTAAATCCCTCAGTCAGAAGGAAGTCCACAGGAAAGAACAGAGGTTTAAGAAGGAATAAGGAGGGGGAAGTAAAAATGAAAATATTTTAAATCTAGCCATGGCAACAATGGTTCTCAACCTTCCTAACACTGCAATCTCCCCACCATCACTTTGGTTTTTCGAGACAGGATTTCTCTGTAGCTTTGGAGGCCTGTCCTGGAACTAGCCCTTGTAGACCAGGATGGCCTTGAACTCACAGAGATCTGCCTGCGTCTCCTCTGAAGTTCTGGGCTTAAAGGCGTGTGCCACCACCACCACCTGCAATCTTTAAGACAGTTCTACGGCTCTGGTTACCCCCAGCCATAAAATTATTTCATTGTTACTCCATAATGTAATTTTGTTACTGTTATGAATGTAAGGTGAATATCTGTGTTTTCTGATGTTCTTGGGTGACCCCCGTGAAAGGGTTGTTCCCTCTCCCCCAGAATCTCGACTCACAGGTTGAGAACTTCTGAACTAAAAGGAAAGACTTTGAGGAACCCTAGTAACTTTTATAAGAATTGACCTTAGAAAATCCGAGAAAACACAAGAAGATCAGGGGCATGGTGGTGCATGCCTTTAATCCTAGCACTGGGGAGGCAGAGGCAGACAGATCTCTTTCATCTGTGAATTCTAGGAAAACCTGAGTTTCAGGATAGCCAAGGCCTTGTCTCAAAAACGAAACAGAACAGAACAAAAAGATGCAAGCGCGCACGGCACACACACACACACACACACACACGCACACACACTCCTTTAGTCATGAACACGATGACATCACTACATAGCAATTAACTGCCTGTGGAAAATTACAGCAAAAGGAGAAAAGGAAAAAATTATACCTCAGTACCACACTTTGAGAATGGCTGCTCTAATCTTTCTGCCATCCCCTAAAGCCAGGCTTTCTGAGTTTGCTTTTCTCAGCAATGTCGGGGTCACAGAGGCAACCCTCGTTTTCTATTTACAAAGGTTACTAGGGCACACGCGGGCACTCAGGCTTCCCGGAAGGGTCGCGAGGCGCCCCTAGAGCCTACCAGGCTAGAGAGCAGCCCGGGGCCTCGCCCTGCCCCTCCCTCCCGGTTTGCGCCCCTGGCTTCGCAGTCACCGAAGAGCCCGGAAGAGGGCGGTGCCCGGAAAAGGGGGTGGTGCTCCTGCGGCCTTGCAGCGTTACTGGTAGGGATCAATCCCGTCTCACAGCCCCGGGGCGGAGCTTCTGAGGACTTAAAAGGCGAGGTTTCTTCCCAGCTTAGCTGCGCAGCTCCTAAACAAAGTCTACTGGTCTTTTGTCACATAGTGAGGTTCGCCGGGTCTTGGTGCCAGCCTGACTGAGAAGAGGACGCTCCCGGGAGACGAATGAGGAACCACCTCCTCCTGCTGTTCAAGTACAGGGGCCTGGTGCGCAAAGGGAAGAAAAGCAAAAGACGAAAATGGCCAAATTTAAGATCCGTCCAGCCACTGCCTCGGACTGCAGTGATATCCTGCGACTGATCAAGGTAGGGAAAAGGTCGGGCTCTCCCTAGGGCGGAGGGTGGGGGAAAGCTCCAATTCCCCGGGTAGTCCACACCCTTGGTTCTGAGATGTTGCCGGGTCAGTAATTCCCTTTACTCAACCTGCCTACCCCAGCCCGGGTCAGGTCCAGTCATTGCGCGACCCCGCCAGCCCCATTTCCCCTTCTGTGAGCTGGCCGGGCCGGACAGGACTTTCATTGTTCTTTCTTTTTATTCGTGTCATTCCCAGGAACTGGCTAAATATGAATACATGGAAGATCAAGTAATGTTAACTGAGAAAGGTAACGAAGTCGTGGCACGGGGTGGGGAGGGGGGAGGGAGGAAATAAGCTTATCTGTTACCTGACACCTACAAAACTCAACACTGTCTCCTCCCCCATCTTACAGATCTCCTAGAGGATGGTTTCGGAGAGCACCCCTTCTACCACTGCCTGGTTGCGGAAGTGCCTAAAGAGCACTGGACTCCTGAAGGTAACCCTTTCTCCCTGTCCAGAAGTCAGAGAGGACGAGTGTTGTATCAAAGCCGTAGAGTCTACTGTGCAGGACCTGTGACTACACGGGTAGAAGTTACTGAGAAGCTGGCCAGAAATAACAGCCAGCCAGTGTGCAAATGACTGAGGAAAAAGAAAATGTACGCGCTGTAACTTTATAGTAGGGCGGGTAAAGAGAGCTGTTTAAGCGAGTATCAGAGTGCTGTGGAGACCCGAAGTTAGGTATAATGTCATTTGTTGTAATTCAGTTTCATAAGAATAGTTTTTGTTTGACCCTAACCTAACCTTTTTTTGTAATTGTGTTAAATCACATTTTTTTCTTTAATTTGTCCCAATCCTCAGGTTACAGTCTCTAGCTTCGCCATGTACATGGCCCTTCTGTGTACATGGATGGGCGGGGAGGTAACTAAAAGATCCTTTACACAATAAAGTAGATGATCATGATAAATGAGGTAAGGTCCTATTATCACACACTTGAAACATGGTAGATCAGAAACTTAATTCGCTTCCTGTCTGTTTGCAAAGAAATGGAAACTGGCTAGAAAGTTGAATTTACAACCGTTGCTTCCATTTGGAATTGAATTGACACTCCTTATGAGGGAGTCAATTTTTAATTGCTTTTTTTAAAAAAAAATTTAATGTATTTCTTTTTTTGCTGACCCTTTTTGACTGGCCAGAAGAGGGCTAAAAGGGGCTAAAAGTTGCTTGGGTGGATGCTTTCTTCAGTTTTCTTCTGACGTCTGTTCCTTAGACTAGAAGGCAATCAGAACACCCCCACGATGAGCTAGCTTTTAGAAATTCGTGCGGGTGTTACGCAACACCTGTATCTCATTACTGCTACTTCTCCTGCCTCAGAAATGGGGGAAAGGAAATTGAAAACTTTCGCGTGGGAAGGCATGTTCTGAAAGTCAACATTGTCTTTTTGGCCTGGTGTTCTGACCTTAAGGAAGTAAGAGTCGGTAAACTACACATGCTCCCTCTTTTAAACCGCTGTGTAAACCCAGCTTTGGCCAAGCCCACATACCAGTATGTCATTAGGGTGTGAATAATGTGTGTGCTTAGTTTAAGGCTGTGGCAGTTTTTGCTCTGGTACATGTAATGAAAGTGTTTTCACTTCTGGAGTGTGAGCCCAGCAGACTGCGGACTAGCCAGCCCACGGGTGTATTCTAGCTTCAACTAGCGCTAATGTGTGCTTTTTGCAAATACATGTCTGAGACCAGAGAAATCGTCCATCATTGGTCTGCACTGTGCTAGCATAAACATGAGGAGGCAGTCCGGTTCATGGCTACTTGTTACCATGATGCATGCATGTATATTTTCTTAAAATCTTACGATAGGCTTCTGATTCTGCCAATACAGCTTGAATGGTTTGATTTTCTTCTCTGTATCTCATGGGATACTCTTATTACAGGGCACAGCATTGTTGGTTTCGCCATGTACTATTTTACCTATGATACATGGATTGGCAAGTTACTGTATCTTGAAGACTTCTTCGTGATGAGTGATTACAGAGGTATGCTTGAATTTGGGACTAGAGGCAGTTTAAAGAGAAATCAGAGCTCTATGACCTTAACATGACTAATTTGAATTGTCTTGCTTTCTTTTAGGCTTTGGTATAGGATCAGAAATTTTGAAGAATCTAAGCCAGGTATGTTGACCAGCATTTCACTAATATACCCCAGGTTGGCCTGATATTCATTACATAGTCCTGGCTGGCCTCAAGATCGCCTCCACCTCCCTAGTGCTGGGATTCTAGTTGTGGCCCAACATACCCAACTGTCCTAGATTTAAGCTTCTGAATTTGTAAGAGTTATTGGGTTACTGGAACAAATAAATCAAAATTGGTTCTTGGCACGTGGATGAAATGTGGATGAAACATCACTGGGCTTACGTTTTCCCTCTCATTCCAGGTCGCCATGAAGTGTCGCTGCAGCAGTATGCACTTCTTGGTTGCAGAGTGGAATGAACCATCTATCAACTTCTACAAACGAAGAGGTGCTTCTGACCTGTCCAGTGAAGAGGGATGGAGGCTCTTCAAGATCGACAAAGAGTACTTGCTGAAAATGGCAGCAGAGGAGTGACGACGACAACCTCCATTATACTTTAGGAGAAATTCTCAACTTACCTTGCTTTCTATCTTGTTCGTAGTGAAATAATAGCGTGAGCACCCATTCCAAAGCTTTATTACCAGTGGCGTTGTTGCATGTTTGAAAGGCAGTCTGTTTTAAATGGCAGTCATGTATGTGGTTTGGAGGCAGAGTTTTTGAACATCTTTTGATGAACAACAAGTTGGTGTGATCTTACTTTTTATGAAAAACAAAACTTCATTCTTGTGAGTCATTTAAATGTGTACAATGTACACACTGGTACTTAGAGTTTCTGTTTTGATTCTTTTTTTAATAAACTACTCTTTGGTTTAATTATTCAGCATAAGCATTTTTAATTTAGTTATTTAGCATAATCCCATCTTACTCATTTTTCTTGTAACGAAAATAATATGTAAAATCAAAATGTCCCTTCAACAGTTCTCAGGAACTGGTGAACATCAATGGTAGCAGTCGCCTCATATTTGCAATGTCCTGGATTTCATTCCTAGTGCCACAAAAGAAAGAAAGGGGAGAAAATGGGTTGGGAAGGAAAGAAAGAAAACGGGTGATGCATACGATGAATAAGCCCATTGTTGTACCATGTTGTAAAATGTTGAAGGTGGGTTTATGGAACACTAAAATCAGGGATAAAAGCATCTTGTCCCCAATGACCTCGAAATCAGGGGAAAAAAAGCATCTTGTCCCCAGTGATCTCATCCCACACAAAGTGCTCTTTGAAGAAAAATTTAAGTGGGTCGTTCTGCTAATCAAGCAGGAGCAAAAAGCCGCTTTTTAACGATAAGACTGCGACTGCAGACAGTGATCTTGAGGTACTGTGCTGACATAATGTCCTTACAGTAGAGACAGAGTAGGAGTCACCCAAACCACTAGGGAGAAGTAAGCAAATACTTTTCTCAGGAACTGAAAAGGGGCCTTTTAAAGAGCAAAGGGGAAAGACAGTTTTCTTAGATCTGGGAACTCTAATTACTCACTATATTGACCTGCATTCCCAAACCCACTAATTTGCACCACCATAAAACTGATCTGTGAAGAGTCACTGAAAACTAGTGCCCAAGATTCATGTTTTCCAAAAGCAGTTACAGGATCCTTGCCAAGCGGTAGGGAATACTGAGCTCTTCAATGGAAACCAGTGTGGCTCTATATTCCTTTGCATCTGTTTTTGTTACACAGTTCTGGATTAGAAGGTAGCCATATAGAAAGATGTTTTGTGCATTTCATTAACGCTTTGGGGTTCACTGGTGACTCAGCATATCACGAAAACAGGCAGACAGAGTCCGTTCTCGGCCAGGGTCCTGTTCAGATGACAAGTAACAGAATTGCTGGCAAAAATCAAAGGCTAACCGAACACAAAGAGCCTTGTGAAGAAGGAAGATATTTTGAAGGTTGTGTTTTGGAAACTGGGCCTCTTAGAGGAAAACAACTACATGCTGCTGACTGTGGTTAAATATATGAATAAATTAACCCAGTGAGTTACAATCTAATCTTTTGTCTTCACATCTTAAGGGAGCTGTGCTGGAAAGACAGAGCACTTGTGAAATTTTGGTTCACACTTTAGAGGAGTCCCTTAGAAGTAAAAATCTAGAAACTCAGACCGCCATCAACCCACTTAATATTCAACTCAATTATAGTGATACTTCTATCCAAACAGCTACAGAGCCAGGCATAGTACTGCACACCCAGGAAGGCTGAGGCAAGGGCTGAAGTTTGAGGCCTATCTGGCCTACACAAGGAACTTTGTCTCAAAAGCAAACAAACCAAGCCACAACAACAACAACAAAAACCACCTGGACACAGGAATACATGCGTATAATCTCAATTGCTTGACATACTGAGGCAGGGGCATCACTTTTTTCCCATGAGTTTGAGGCCATCCTCCGGAGCATACTAAGCCCTCAAAAAAGAAATTTATGCTGGGCAGTGGTGGCACACAGTTTAGCACTCAGGAGGTAGAGGTAAGCTACTCTGTGAGTTTGAGGCCAGTCTGGTCTACAGAGTGAGTTCCATGACAGGCAGAACAAAAAACTTTGTCTTAAAACTCCCCCTGCCAAAAAAAAGGAAAGAAAAAGGAAAAGAGAAAGAGATAGAGAAGAAAAGAAAAAGGTATGTTTAAGACTTTTAGTCAATATGTGGATTAAAAAACAGGTTATGAAGAAAATTATCTACAAAGAAACAATAAGCAATGATAAGCCTAAAAGGAA